AGCGGTTCCATGGAGCGCGCTAGGGCCTTACTTCCGCCTTCACCTTGGAACCGGCTACTCTCTGCGTGCTTGATTGGCGTGTTGGTGAAACGATACGCCTCTCTGCAATGCTATTGGGTAAAATCCCAGTCAATCTGACAGCGGCTTTAATCCGGGTACCTGCACTCCGAGAAATGTAAGCCCCGGGAAAGTGCTCTTGGTTTTACTTTTGCCGTAGATATTGAGGAGGCTCTTACGGGAGGAAGAATAAAGGGAGGGCTAGGATTAGAGAATTCCCGGAGCCACGTGGGAGATGCTTTTAGTTACGGAGGTGTCCGTGCTTCCTTTCGCTTTATAAACATCTCTAGTAGAAGTTTCCTGAGTTTTGCGTGAGTGAATCTGTGTTAAGGTTTATCATAATTGGGGAAAGCCAGACACGGGCTGTTACATATAAGAAAATGTAATTAAATAAAAATTTTGGTTCAATTCAGTTTAGTAGAAAGGTACTGACCTCCAATTAATTAATACCAGACACTATGCTAAAGTCTGGGCCTTGACCTTATCCTTTCATTATTAGAACTTGAATCCTTTAGAACTTGAATCCTGAAACTTAAAGATTAATACTTTATTAAAATAGTAAAGGAACTTAAATTTTATTTCAAAGTTTCATTATTGTTTTTTGTTTTGTTTTTGTAATTCTCAAGGCAGAATAACGTAATTGACTCTTATTTCACACAAACAACTAATTGAACTAAGTGGCATTTAACAGCATATAACAAAAACAAATGCTTGTCTAAAGATTGTGGGAAGGGGGAGGGGGAAGAAGAATCCACTTCTGGAATGTTATCTGGATTATTTACAAATTTATGTGTTCTACAGATGTTTATCTGCCAACCTGTAGGGGTTTTGTTCAGAAACCCACAACAATTTCTAGTCTACTGAAGTTGATGACACAACTCATTTGAGCTGAGTTTGTTTCCTGTCTTAAAGACACCAAGCAAAAGTAGTCGGAACTGGTGTTTTGTTTTGTTTTGCTTTAACAAAAAGGAGAAGAGAAACAAATTTAACAGGAAGAGTCATTTTTCATTTATTAACTTTTTTAAAAAAATGAATAAAGCAGTGGTGTTCATGCTGTTAATTCAGTTTTAGGATCTGATATTTATCACTTAGCCTAAACTCTCAGTTGGTCTGTAGCGGTTACTTAATTTTATCTTTGTCTTGGATACTAGAAACTTTGAGCCAAATGTGCAGTCTACTTTTAGCAAATGCACAGGCTTCACCAATTTATTCTTAAATTGAGCACTTATTATGTCACATAGTGTAAGATACTAGGGATTTATTTGTAAATAAATAGATGTTGTCCTTGTCCTGGTGGAGAAGTTCATTTCCTAGCATTTAAGAGCAAAATTAAACAACCTCAAATGTGATAGAAGGCTATAACGAAGGTGGATCTCCAAGACTTAGGTGATGGGGAAGGCCTCCCTCTGTAAGCAACTGACTTTCTCCTGAAAGCCCAAAGATCAGTGTTGAAAAAAGTTTTCAAGGTCAAGGGAAATTTACAGGTGCCTGAGTTGAGAGAGCCCAATCCGTTCAAGGAGGTGAAAAAGTCCAAAAAATCTGCCTTCAGGTCGGGATGGGAGTGAGACCTTATGGCAGGAATTGTGCAGATTAGCTTCAGATCTTTCCACTTTTTAAAAATTTTAGTTAAAACCCCTGCTTGGGCATTGTAAATTTATGCATATTTCACATTCACTTATTTTCTTTAAATGAACACAATATCTGTGAAATTTTCCCCTTTAGAAGAAAGAAAAGCCTAGGGTTTGGAGCTTCTCCTCAATGTTCCATTTAATCAACAAAATTCAATGATCATTTATTAAGCCTCTACTACACGTAAAGTATTAGGGATTGAAAAAATGATTATGACAAGGTCCTTTGCTTTAAGAAACCTACATTCTTGAGGCAGGGGTGGAAGGGGCACAAAAACACTGAACTATAATGCAATTCAGATTTTATGTGTTTAAAAAATTCTAAGAATGATGCTATGAGAGACCAGATATAAATTGACAGGAGAGTTCAAGGAAGGCTTTACAAAGGACTGATACTTCAGTTAGGCCTTAAACTATCATGAAATACAGGAAAATGCAAGTGAGAAAAATAACATAAAGATGTTAACCTGTATAGTGTGTGCTATAAATACTAGTACGAATCTCCCATATCTTCATTATGATTCCTAAATTTCTGAGATACAGTAAATTAGGACAGAGACTGAAAGGCCAGAGTTCGGGAAATTTCATTAAAATGCATCAATCAAACCATGAGAGTTAAGCATCATAAACAACTAAGCATCAGAAAAAGAGACATTCACAAAAAGTTTACCTCATAGGGTTCTGGTGAGGATTAAATGAAATAATAAATGTGAAATGCCATCCTTGGTATTTTGGCTGTCTTTTAATATTCATTCTATTATTACCCCACCCTCTTTGCATAATAAAGATGCAATTTGGAGTACTGACTCCAGCTCAGCTCAAGGGGTAGGCCAATTTGAGCCAATCATGTTAATCCACCCCTCTCTTAATTCAGTAATTAATTTAGGAACCCAGTCTTAAGCCTATCGATGTATAGCATTTTCTTTTTTTTTTTTTTTCAGAGACAATATAGAACTTTTATTTTTCTGAAACATTGAGAAGTAGTTGCCAGTGACATAATAAAACATTACCCTGAATACTGTGTTTATTATAAATATGAAAATTTTCTTACATAGCTAAATATAACCATCAATGTCAGGAAATTAACATCAATGTATTATTATAATTTAATCATCAGACCCTGTTCAAAGTTATACAGTTGTCTCAATAATGTTTTTGTTTTTATTGAAGTATACTTGATTTACAATATTATATTAGTTTCAGCATAGTGATTCAGTATTTTTATAGTTTATACTTCATTAAAAATTATTACAAGATAATGACTAAAATTCCCTGTGCTATAAAATATATCTTGGATGCTTATTTATTTTATTTTTTTGTCTTTTATTTTATAAATTTTTTTTGAATTTTATTTTATATTTTTATACAGTAGGTTCTTATTAGTTATCCCTTTTATACATATTAGTGTATATATGTCAATCCCAATCTCCCAATTCATCCCGCCAACCCCCCCACCCCACCACCGCTTTCTTCCCTTGGTGTCCATAAGTTTGTGCTCTACATTTGTGTCTCAATTTCTGCCATAAAAACTGGTTCATCTGTACCATTTTTCTAGGTTCCACATATATGCGTTAATATACAATATTTGTTTCTCTCTTTCTGACTTCACTCTGTATGACAGTTTCTAGATCCATCCACGTCTCTCCAAATGACCCAATTTCATTCCTTTTTATGGCTGAGTAATATTCCATTGTATATATGTACCACGTCTGCTTTATCCATTTGTCTGTTGATGGACATTTAAGTTGCTTCCATGACCTGGCTATTGTAAATAGTGCTGCAATGAACATTGGGGTGCATGTGTCTTTTTGAATTATGGTTTCCTCTGGGCATATGCCCAGTGGTGGGATTGCTGGGTCATATGGTAGTTCTATTTTTAGTTTTTTAAGGAACCTCCATACTGTTCTACATAGTGGCTATATCAATTTACATTCCCGCCAACAGTGCAAGAGGGTTCCCTTTTCTCCACACCCTCTCCAGCATTTGTTGTTTGTAGATTTTCTGATGATGCCCATTCTAACTAGTGTGAGGTGACACGTCATTGTAGTTTTACTTTGCATTTCTCTAATAATTAGTGATGTTGAGCAGCTTTTCATGTGCTTCTGGGCCATCTGTATGTCTTCTTTGGAGAAATGTCTATTTGGGTCTTCTACCCATTTTTGGATTGGGTTGTTTGTTTTTTTAATATTGAGATGCACGAGCTGTTTATATATTTTGGAGATTAATTGTTTGAACGTTGATTCATTTGCAAATATTTTCTCCCACTCTGACTGCTGTCTTTTTGTCTTGTTTGTAGTTTCCTATGCTTTGCAAAAGCTTTTAAGTTTCATTGGGTCCCATTTGTTTATTTTTGTTTTTATTTCCTTGTTTAGGAGGTGGATCAAAAAAGATCTTGCTGTGATTTATGTCAAAGAATATTCTTCCTATGTTTTCCTCTAAGAGTTTTATAGTGTCTAGTCTTACGTTTAGGTCTCTAATCCATTTTGAATTTATTTTTGTGTATGGTGTTAGAGAGTGTTCTAATTTCATTCTTTTACATGGAGGTATCCAGTTTTCCCAGCACCACTTATTGAAGAGACTGTCTTTTCTCCATTGTATATTCCTGCCTCCTTTGTCATAGATTAGTTGACCATAGGTGCATGGGTTTATCTGTGGGCTTTCTATCCTCTTCCATTGATCTATATTTCTGTTTTTGTGCCAGTACCATATTGTCTTGATTACTATAGCTTTGTAGTATAGTCTGAAGTCAGGGAGTCTGATTCCTCCAGCTGCATTTTTTTCCCTCAAGACTGCTTTGGCTATTCGGGGTCTTTTGTGTCTCCATTCAAATTTTAAGATTTTTTTGTTCTAGTTCTGTAAAAATTGCCATTGGTA